TTATGTTCACACAATACGTCTCCTTGCAGTATCAACACTAATTCGGCTGACTTTTATATTTGATCCAATTAGTAGATAGTCTGTATTTTCACCATAACGGTGCACAGCTGATAGAAAGGGACTTTTTTGTAGTTTTTAAAGATATTACTGATTTTCTGAACTACCTTTCCAACTCCTCATGCAGTTGACTGTTACAGGTCTATACAAGTTCATAGTACAATGCATAAGCTTCACGTCGAGAGACTGAAACTGTATTTTCCTTTACCGTTCTGTTTTAATTTCACAATAAAGTGAATTGTCATATTATGTTTGATATTATTATGTTTTATTAACTAGACCACTGTTTTTTTAAACCGCACCTCCTAGTGGTTAAAGCACGGTATTGAATTTAGTTGTTGAATAAGTTATATTTGATGAAAACATTTAAATATTAAGAGTAGCCTACATACAAAATAGGGGTCAATGATAGAAATATAGAATAGAAAAGATCAAGAAGATACTGTAGTGATCTCTACAATAAAACAGTTTAGTGCAGGACGTCCAAAGATATTAACAGGAGGATGTGCAAAACAGACAAACTGATAAGGCTGAATTTGACTCAGGTGTAACTAAAGTCTGATTTAAGGGTTGTTTATCATTAATCAGAATCTGCAAAGTAACAAAAATAAATGTAGTAGAGTAAAAATACCAGGTTAACCTCTGAATTGTAGTATAGTAGAACAAAGTAGTACATGCTGCTGTAACAAAAACATTTCCCAACTTGGGATCAATAAAGTATCTTATCTTAAGATGATCGATGGCTACTGCCATATTTGCTAAATGTGCATCTGAACCTTGACAAGTGCATGTTTCAGGCTTATCAATGAACAACAGGAGGGGTCACAGACATAAGACCAGCTGCTAAATAATGCTCTTCTGACCTTAGCTGTCATGTGGGTATATTAATGCTGCCCATTATGAGGCGCATTCACACTGCGGTACTTTTCCCACAAAGGTTCATGTGAACTTAGTTCATGTGAACTCTTTAGTTCGCATGAACTAAGTACAGATCGCGTTCACACTGGAAAAAGTCCCTGGGGGTGGATTCATGGATGTATAATAAGAACTGGATACAGCGTGGGAGGTGGGGCCTCATTCATTCCTATGAGAGCTGCTCATTAGCGCATGATGATAAATTGGCCCAACTTTTGAGAGAGTGAAACGTCACAGATTACCCAGCATGCCTGAGAAGTACCCGTATGTGCACTCATAGAGCATGCGCAACTTTAACCAAAATGCTCGTTCACATCAAGCACGTCAATTTGCGTACACGTAACAGCACCGCGCGTTCATGACAGCATGGTAATGAATTGTTGTTATCATGGATTTGATATGAACGAGGCGGCAGTTAGCAGCTAGCGGCTAGCTAGTAATGATGCTAATGTGCACATCAATCGTTATGTACTTATATTACGCTGTAACAGGATCTAGTGATATCCAACAGAGCTTAATTTAGCATGAAATAATTATTGCACTGTATATATATATATATATATTTATATATAGCCTATTTATATACAGTGCAATAAGCTTCTTAGTGCAATACGAAGCTACAGGGACGTTAATAATGTCGGTAATATTAACTTTATTTAATACAACATTTACGGTACAAGATTTAATCATACAGCCCATGTAGTATGATAATGAATTACAGCAAACATGTGCAATATATCCATTATTACAGCTCCGTGGGATGGCAGTAAGACGATATGGATCCGTTCTTATCCATGGGTAAAGATAAACGCAACTCACATTGGTTTCTCATACAGCATCTCTGTAAACTACGTGTATTCACTGAATTTCACTCTCTGCCTTTAACGGCTCGTTGTAGCTCCAATAACTCCAGCCCCACCCTCCCTGTGAGCACAGTGTGCTCTGATTGGTCGGGACACGTAACATGAATGTGCCGGGCGGCGCGGTCCCGTGGGTTAGATGCGCGTTCATAATGCAGAGGGAAATAACTCTCAGAATAACGTTATTAGCACATTTTTACAACTCGAATGTTTTTAATAAGGGCTATACAAGTGTTTATACTGGGTAGTTTATTTAGTTTAAAAAAAATTATCCAACGAGTTACAGACCACTCTTTCCCCATGTAAGTCAATGGGAAAAAGTGTTTCCGGGCCTGGCAACCAAACGGAAGTGTAGTACCGCCGTTTGGCCAGCACGAATATTTTCATCTGAGTCCGGCGCACTTCCTGGGGGCTTGGGTGGATTAGGCAAATGAAGCCGCTGACGTCACTTGTTCTTCTTCTGCTTTGGGTTTACTGGCAGGCCGCAAACCACTTCACGGCGTATACTGCCGCCCAAAGTCCCAGGCCGGAAGTCCCCGGAGTTGGGGACTGGCTTCAGTAGAAGCTGCTGGGACTCCCAGCAGCTTCTACTGAAGCCTTCCGAGTAAATCGCCAGAACGCCGACACCTCCTCATCTCCACCGCTCCCATGTTTTATTTTGTGTTGCCATAAGTTAGTCTCTCTGCGTTTCTGCGCTGTGCTAATGCTAATGCTAATAATGCTAATGCGAGGATAATAAAATGGCGGCTTCACAAAACTTTTTGGGAGTTTTACGGGGCGTGGTTTGTAATCCGCCCAGCCAATCAGAAATATAGCTCTTTTCTCACAAAAGAGCCGCTCGAAAGTCCCTGCTCTCTAGCAGGGACTTTCGAGGGGGTAAAAAGGTTCACATGAACTAATTTTATTACCGGCTCTTTTAGGTGTGAACGCGATAAAAGAGTTCACATGAACTAAGTTCACATGAACCTTTGTGGGAGAAGTACCACAGTGTGAATGCGCCTATGGACACAAGCAATTTTCACCCATGTATTAATTATATGTTTTAAATTTGATAACACCAATGTGTTTCGTATCCCCTAAACCTCCAGGGATGTATACAGTTTAATACTGGCAACTTCTAATTGTGGGAAATACGAAAACGTCTTTTAAAACTACAATTCCCAGTAGAGACGTGCCATAGAACATGTTGCAAAACACACAATAGCCAGTCTGGCGGAGTAACTTTGTCGCACTGCCACTCCAACATCCAATCACAGAGCTTGAGGGCTAATCACAGGGTTTGTAAAGCAAGGCGGATGTTGTAGTCCCAAACGATAGCTGGGGATTCTGGGTAGTGTAGTGTATTCGGAAACTCTGTAGTGTCTAAACTCCGAAAAAACTATTTGTTTCTCCGAATCGAAGGTTAAAAACACAAAAGCATTGTACACAATTTAAACCAATCAATATTGTGTAATTAACAAGGATAAACTGATGTTTTTTAGTGGATGAGTAATGGAGATATCACTGTGTAATCATTTGACAGTGTGGGGAATACTTCCGGTTTTATTATGAAAACTTCGAGACCGGAAATACTGTTTTCACCCACGCTAACTTTACATGGAAGCTGCCCCATATACTGTACAGTACACGTTCTCCTGGCGAGACCTCAAATCATCTTCGTATATCTATCAAACTGTAGATCTTACACATCCACTGGACGTAGATTATAAAAGTACAATATACACTTCTCGCTAGAAATCTAATAAAAAAGCATTTTAATGGCCAAACTATTCCACAATTTAGGATTTTCCAGAGAGGGTTATTTGTGAATAAACGACCCTTCGGAGCGTTTGCAATCGACAGGAGCATGTTGTTTCTTACACGACCACTAGAGGTGCTACACTTTAAAACGTGACTCTGGGTCGTATTTAGCTGCTGAACAATCGGTCGTTTTTTGTAGGAGGACAGGCTGCTGGGGATCAGTGTTGGGTGTAACGCCTTACAAAAGTAACGGAGTTACAGTAATGCATTACTTTTTGCTGTAACGCAGTAATATAACGCATTACTAATGACATTTGGGTAATATAATACCCATTACAATTCTCAGTAACGCAGTTACAACACATTTTAACCTGAAATTAAGGGGTGTTTTGTTTTTTAAGAATTCACTAACATTGCGAAAAAAGGTCGCTGCACATTATCCTGCTTATTACGGGCCAGATACTAAACAAACTAACGACTCGACTCCCAATATTAATTGAAATTATTTTATTGACTTAAAAATTATCATATTTCTTCCGCTAAGAAAAATAAAACTCTGTTCCGCACCAACGGCTGGAACTGCAACAACAAATTTACGGCAGCACTGTCCAAGTCTGTTCACAGTTTTTGATAAACTAACAAGTAACACGTCCTTAAACTCTGCAGAGCCCATACCATGTTCCTGTTAGTGTTTAATTCCTCTCTGCCTTCTTCTGGTGATTTATCTGATGTCCAGCGCTCCTTCTTTTAGCCTCTTTTCCTTTCTCTTTCTTGATCCTCCTTAGCAACGGTCATTATAGTCCTTGACAACGGTCTGTACTACTGTATTAACAACGTGTCACGTGTTCTGAATTGACTAATCAGAATCGAGTATTCAACTAAGCCGTGTAATACAAGTTGTGAGTAGCCTTAATGGCCTACACAGTTGTTATGCTATACCACATTGCCCTTCACTAGATGTATAATGAGCTGCACTAAACTACATTTTAGCATTTAAAATACCTAGCCATTCTTTTGCGGTTATTTTGGTGAAAGTAACTAAAAAGTAATATAAAAGTAGTTTAACTCATTACATTTCAGAGACAATAATATTGTAATGTAACTTATTACTTAATAAAGACAGTAATAAATAATATGTACTGTATTACATTTTGGAAGTAACTTGCCCAACACTACTGGGGATACGTCTCTGATGCTGTTCCAAAGTCTACTTTTCAGATGGAATCATGTTGAAGAATTGTCCCTATAAGTCTGAAAAAATCTAGGCTCTGTTTATATTGTGTCTTAGGTGTCTGCGGGCATGTTCCATTTTGTGTGTGTGTATTTGTGTGTGTGTTTATAGGTGAACGTGTTGTCCTCTTTTATGGGCCGTCTTCCTTTATTTCCCTCCTAAAGTCTAAGTGTATGTGTGTGTGTTAATGCCCACAGGGAAACCTGAGTGAACTGGGAAAGCTGCTGATGCAGGGATCCTTCAACGTGTGGACCGACCACAAGAGAGGCCACAGCAAGGTACAGCACTGCAGTATTACCACCACATTACCAGAAGTCCTTAATACCAACATTAGGAGGACATGCCTTTCATTTGAACTCAAGTCAAACAGAACACCTCTAGAAAAAGAGCCATTATTTCAACAGAGCCAGACCGATGTGATGGGAAGAAATTACAACTATGCGTTACAATTGTGTGCTCTAAAACTCGAGTCACAAGAGCAAATAAAACCTAGCATTTGATAGGTGATATTTTGAAATATGTTGATGAATAGAACGGAACATACAAATGTATATTAATTTACGGAATATATCTGCATTTTCTTCTTCTGAGATTGTATATTCATGATGTATTGCGCTTACTGTAAGTCACTTTGTATTTAGCTAAATGTAATGTTATGGAGGGAACACATTTTCGTTTAACTGGTGAGTGTATCCCCATATCTCTGTCAAGGTGCAGTTGGTGATGAATTTAAACAAATATTATTTTTGCAGTTACATGTTATACAGTAAGTGTTTCTTCACAAAACATAATAGAGCCTAAGATTTTTTAATGATGGGAAAATATATATATTTTTTAAATATCTTGAAAGTTTAGAGGTAACATTACCAAGATTACTTTATGTAATAGGCCTAAGTTGTTATAAAGTAACACTTCAAGATGAATAAGGGAACAATGGAATGATTGGGGGAAATGCACACAGATACAATGACCCGTTTCCTGATTCCAGGTGAAGGACTTGGCCCGGTTTAAGCCGATGCAGAGGCATCTGTTCCTGTATGACAAGATGATGCTATTCTGTAAGAAACGAGAAGAGACGACAGACGGACACGACAAGACCCCGTCCTACAGCTTCAAACACTCTCTCAAGGTCAGATACATGTTGTGTGTTAGGCAGAGTGATACTGAAGGACTGAAACAGCTACAGCTAACGCAAAACAATGCAAAAACAAAGGGAGAGAACGCCAATAGTACATATACATATAAAACTAAGTGTTTATAACACATGCAAGTGTTTTAAGAGTAGATACATTAAAAATAATGAATAAACAAAACTGTTATTTGGACCGCCTGGTGAGTTTAATAATGTACTCTTTTCTCTAAGTTTTGGTCGCAACCAACTCTTACCCCCTGATCCCACCGGAAGCGTCTGCGCTGCGGCTGTGCCGCGCTGCGACGCGCTGCGACCTCCTCCTGCGTCATAACCCACCAGGCGCGTTTCAAAACGTTGCGGAAGCGGAGCGTCGTGTGTGCAGCCTCCCAGTATTCCACCAGACCCGCTGCGCTGCGCCGCGTCAAAAATAGGATTCATCCTATATTTTAGAAATTCCTTGCGGCGAGGAGCTTCTGGGACGCTTCGAGCCGCGGCGCAGCGGGTCTGGTGGAATAGCACCCATTGACTAGAGTGGCCGCGATCGCTAAAAACGCCGCAGACGCAGCGCAGCGCAGACGCTCCTGGTGGGATTAGGGGGTTAACCAGCAAAACTCACTGAGCTAAACCTGATAGTTAAATGTATTAGTTAGTTCAAATATTTTGAATGTTGTGCAGTATGAAGTGGCATGACAAGAAATAAGTAAAGTGAAGTACAGGTAGGCCTACCTCTGTAAAACAACACATTTTGCAATGTATTAAACAGATTGTTGGCCGCTTTAATATAAAGCAAACAAACCATCAGAACACCATATTCTTTGATATATTAGTTAGTATATACAAACAAATGTAACAAAGTAACATATTTACCAACACATGTTCTGCGCCACTACATACTTACATTTAAATGTGTTCTGCATCGGTTCAAGGGTTTTTGAAATTGGTCGGTGCCGTGCGCAAAGCATTGTTGGGATTTGAAGGACGCAAAGTCTACTCATGTGCAGCCTCGAAATTTCCTCCAAACCAAGGACGCGGCCTCGGTGGAATTCCAAGTATACTGGAGATTGGAACAGTCCTTCGGGTTACTCGATGACGTAGCATCCTTGAAATATTGGCTTGAAAGCCAGAATCCTCGAGATTGAGAAATGGCCCGAGAAACGGCCTGAGTCTGACACAAACGTCCCAGGTGGGCGGGACTTTCAGGGGTGCGTCCCCATTGGCTACTCAGTTTTTGAGTGACAGCTATGGGCATAGATATGTCTCATAATTATTTGTGTGAACATAAAAATAATTTGTGTGTAAATATGTGATTTGTAAATGTAAAACAACATCCACAAATGCATTTAAAATATTTGCAAACACACAAATACATTTGCAAGTGTAAAACGGATCTGCAAATACGCTAAATATGTTCACAAATTAAAAAAAGATCTGTGAATATCTCTTTAACATTTACACCTTTCGATCAGGCATTTGTGAATCCATTTTGTATTTGTGGACCAAAAATGCGCTTGCGGATCTCAAATCTCTGTTCACGGATCGTCTTTTTACACACACGGAATTTTGAGACATATTTTCCGCCGGTCTCGGCTAAAATCTACTCGTGTCACTCGGTTATTTTCGGAAACCACGTGATGGCCCGCTGTTGACGACATTTCTGCATGATTTCAAAGTAAGAGCCTGATGGTTTGTTTAATGCTCTGTTTTTGTATTATAATGAACAGCGGAACGTTAGATGCATTCTTTATCATCATCACTATCATCATTATGTTATAGTGATACAGTTAGTTTGTGTTATTGGTTCAATATAGCATATATCGAGCACTTTCGTTGATGTTGAAGTACAGGCTATAGCCTACGCCACTTTCGGATCCCGGGGGAGCAGCTGGCAGCGAAGCAGCCCAGATAAAACTCTTTCTTCATTGTGTGTTGTGTATTCAGTCAAGCGGGTCAAAGTTACAAAGCACTTCACATCTTATTAATCGGCCTAATTTTACCTTACCAGTGCAGTAATAAAGTAATCTGTAGAAAAGCACCGTATTTAGGTCAGGGTTATGGTGATGAAGAATGCATCTAACGTTCCGCTGTTCATTATAATACAAAAACAGAGCATTAAACAAACCATCATGCTCTTACTTTGAAATCATGCGGAAATGTCGCCATCAGCAGGCCATCACATGGTTTCCGAAAATAACCGAGTGACACGAGTAGATTTTAGCCGAGACCGGCGGAAAATATGTCTCAAAATTCCGTGTGTGTAAAAAGACGATCCGCGAACAGAGATTTGAGATCCGTGAACAGAGATTTGAGATCCGCAAGCGCATTTTTGGTCCACAAATACAAAATGGATTCACAAATGCCTGATCGAAAGGTGTAAATGTTAAAGAGATATTCACAGATCTTTTTTTTATTTGTGAACATATTTAGCGTATTTGCAGATCCGTTTTACATTTGCAAATGTATTTGTGAGTTTGCAAATCTTTTAAATGCATTTGTGGATGTTGTTTTACATTTACAAATCACATATTTACACACAAATTATTTTTATGTTCACACAAATAATTATGAGACATATCTATGCCCATAGATAGCACACTACACCACAGATCATACAGTGCAACTCATGCAGCAAACTCCGGAGTCCACTCGGCCACGTTAGTGTTGGTGTCTCCTCCTGGGGAGTTTCATGAACATATCGGACTTATCTTATGGATTGCTGTGCATTAGACTTGTGATGTGTAGTTTATACTTTATTCCAACTTTAAATATTGTAATACCTGAACCCACTGCTGCTGTTTAATAATTTCCCAATTTGGGATTGATAAAGTGTCTGTCTGTCTATTTATTTATTTTATAGATTAAAAAAACACATCTATGTATTTTCAAGCTAAAGGTGATACACAATGTAAACTGTATACTGTTATTTATTCAAAGACATGTTACATTTCAAAAGCATATATTGCTATGTTTAGGACAAACAATTAAAGACTGCTTTAATTTAACAAATTCTACAATATAAAAGTGGCAGATTTGCTTTATTAGACAGACCAGATCTAGGTTGCATACCACATCTTACTATGCTGGTCTGAAGAGCTGAAGCATTCATACACAATGGATAAAAACTGTGTCTCATTCTATATCCTGTGAGAAAATGATATACATTTAGCATTACAAACTCGACATACTATTCCTAGCCTGAGGAAGATATGAATAACCAACAGATTTGAATGGAATCTCTAACATTTTCATGTAGAATAAAGACAAAAGAGTGATTATACAAATTATATTTATTGAAATTGGAACCAGAAGATGAATTCTCAAAGAACGTTTTAAATAAAAGGGCAAAAAGGTGAATAATAATAAAATATATTAAATGTATGTAAAGACATTTGGTCAAATGAAATGACACTGAGCCAGTGATACCAGCAACGCCAGCGTGGATGAAGCTGGCAGTTCTTTCTTCATGCCCCCCCTCCGTGCTGTCCCCTCAGAGGAAGTGGGAAAACGGGATAAGACTCTGGACGCCACGCTGTCTCAATGATCCACACTGTTAACATGAGAGGAAAATAAATGTTTTTGGAAATTAAAAATATGAAGTTAACAAATAAAACTCAGCTCAGGGGCATCATGGACGGTAGGTTTCCCTACAAAGAGAAGTAGTAAACTCAGCCTCCATTGATTTTCATATCAAATTAGCATGTTAATAAAATAAGCTATCATGGCTTATACTTGCATATCTAAACAGAATCATGAAAGCATGTTGGTAGAGTCAGGCACACAAGTCTGTTTGAGTGTGTCTGACTCTACCAACACTACTAACACTTTCTGAAATATGTTTTTGGTCTAAATGTTTTTTTCAACAAATATGATGAAAAGACTGATTATTGACTATTGCAAGTAGCCTGTTCAACCTGTTTGTAACACACAGAAAGAGTTTTGGAGACATTAATCTTTAATGGGACTTATAATATATAGTAGCTTTTTTTTAACTAAAGGAGGAAATAGGGTTGCTGCATTAGTTTGGGACTATTTTCAGTGTCCCATTAATACACATCTAAACCCCTCTTTGGTGAAATGTAGCTTCTTGTTCTGTGCCGGGGCTTTTTTGGTTGGTTCAACCCCTGAATGGGGGACCACTGGCACAACCCACCAGAGAGGTCTGATCAAGGAGGGAGCGCCCGTAAATAATTGCTACATCTGTAGGTACTTGGTACAATTGCAAAGGAGGAGAGGAGCCACGTCATTACGTTACCGTTTCCATTGCTGCAATGCCAACGTGAGACAGATCAAGCTATATAGCACTTTGGTGTGTTTAATTGAAGTATAAAACTCCTTACTCATCTATAAATGTGTGCCAGCCAGGCAAGACAAGAACAACTGGTTAGCGCACAGGCATCGAACCAGCCCTATAACCGACTCCGTGGAAAAGGGGTAATAGTGATGTAGATTGTTAGTAATTCAGCAAAGTGCCAGTTGGTTGGTTTCTGCGGGTCTATGGAATGAGATTATTTTGTAAATGTTGAGTCATTGCGGCCTCTCACGGTGTCTCTGCTCTGCTTCCTGTACAGATGAGTGCAGTGGGGATCACAGAGAACGTGAAAGGCGACATCAAGAAGTTCGAGGTGTGGTACAACAACAGAGAGGAGGTTTACATCATACAGGTATGTTGATGTTTAACAAAAAACAACAAAGATTAGAATCAAATCAAAATGTAGACTTATGAAGCAGCACATTGTTTTTAATACGTTCCTATATTATCATCTCACAATCCCTTAGACTTATCTAGTGACCCTGTGAAGGGGACCAGGCCCCTAGGTTGGAATCTATCTGTGTAGCTTCTCATGACTAGGTCCACTCCACCTGGAGTTGTTAAATCATTCTTATATATTGATGCACCAGTATTGCAAATCTGTAAAATGTATAATATAATCATTGATGTCCCAGAAGGGACATTTTACTGCAGAATACATACTTTTACTTTTGATACTTGAAGTATATTTTGTTCAAATCCATATATAGAATATTGGAAAAAAGAATGAGAAAAGAAGGAGTATGTCCTTCGTATACCAATGTCTAATGTAATATCCTCTTCATTTTATAAAGAATACATGTATTGTACAAGAGGAAATCAAATATATATGATTAACATATGATGTGTTTTATGAAAATAATATTTAAACTGAGGGGACATACATTTACACTTTATTATATATATAAGATGAATGTTATATATATTTTTTTTGGAGGCATTCAGTGATCTTTTCCACGGTCGTCCTCTTGGAGGCAGTGTTGTACCGCACAGCTCTCCCACTGAAACACAGAAAAACTGCAGGAGTGTTAAAAAAACTGTTGTTGTATATGTTGCTTTATATTGGTGTGTGTGTGTGTGTGTGTGTGTGTGTGTGTGTGTGTGTGTGTGTGTGTGCGTGTGTGTGTGTGTGTGTGTGTGTGCGTGTGCGTGCGTGTGTGCGTGTGTGTGCATTTCCTCCGCAGGCTCCTTCCATGGATGTGAAAAACAATTGGGTGTTGGAGATTCGTAAAGTTCTTACAGGCCAACTCGAGGCGTGCAGAGGTATACACACACACACACACACACACACACACACACACACACACTCCTCTTCCAATCCCCCCTACTTTTATTTAGTTAAAGGTTAGAGACGATGCCAAATAATAACAAATTAGAAGGAAACAAATATTTAAAAAATACAGATTTCAGTATTCTGAGGCTCTAAGCCCCATTTATTTTCCTCGTTGACGGCAAAAAAAGTCCGACATTACACAATTTAAAATAAAAACAATAATCGTGGCTTAATATTGAGTAAGAACATGTTTTTATGAACCCCACAGCTTCCGGTCTTCCAAAACCCGATCGGACAAAAAGACGTGCTGCAGGCACGAAACATACTACCAATAGAAATACTTTGCTTTTAAAAACTTTCTGTGTGACACGAAATAAATGGGAAAATCGTGTTGGTGAACACGAATCAATAGATTAAATGTATTTCGTGACTATAACACGAAATGCCGTGAGACTGGGTTGGAAGCCCATAGAGCTAGCTTTAATTCACCATTTAGTTGTGAGGTTGCACAATGACCAATGGACTAAGTTTATATATAGTGCTTTGTCCACTCTTTACAACCTCTGAAAGCGCTTTACATTTACACATCATCATTCACCCATTCACACGCCATTCATACACAGCAGTCCAGACGGGTAATAACTGGAAAAGCCTGACATGGGACCTTTAACTTTTCTTACAGTTTAGCTTGACTTAGTTGTAAAAGTCCTATTTATTTAGAGGCTTACATTGTGTGTCTAAAGCTAGCTAATGTAGAGGGTTAGCGGCTTTAGCTAGCCCCAGCTTTGTTATAGTAAGTGGATGTGATAGCTGCCTCCCCTGGTGCTTTGTCATTGTAGTCTAATGACAAAACAAGTGAGCCTATATATCTTTTACGCATCTCTGAAATTAGTTCATTGGACTATGGAAGGTAAAGACATGTTTTAAAGTGGTCTACAAACGTTACAATTGTGACACACAGCTAACACAATTCCCCAGACAGTGTGCTGGTCATGTTTCAAAAACATACAAAAAAGTTATTTGACTCCTTTACTGTTTGATTTTCTGCTACCATTACATCCTGCTGCAACAACTCAATTGCTTCCTGTTATCATGAAAATGTTCAGTATCTATCAGCACATCGACAAGTCATCCCTCGCTGCAGTCTGCTGATAAGCTCGTCATCCTCTCCCACACTACCAAGTCAGGGAAACGTCCTCTTTTCAATACTGTCTGTACTTACACAGAAAACACATTTTAATTTGCGACATTCAAACATGATCGCAGTTTTATGACCAGGTTGTAGCTGACAATGCATCACAATATTTAGTCAGGACTGCTTCATTTTAAGAGTTAAAAACACTTGACGAAACAGATGAAAACTAGTGTGACCTGGAACACATTTATATTTCTAACACAAATGGAGATCAACTGTGTGGGGTAGTTTATGTAATGATTGCTTGATTGACAAAACAAATCTAATATGGAATTGTACATAATGATGTATATCAACCAATTTGAATACACCACTTGAGGCCTTTGAACATTTTAATGTTTTTCTTTTTTCTGACACTTTATGGACTAAACTATTAAACATAAGAACATAACAGTAGGGCTCCGCGATTTTGAAAGATAACCTACACACAATAATATTGACTCATATTGCAATTGCGATATCATTTGCGTTTTGAGAGGGAAAAAATTCAACATAATTCACATTTCATTGAAAAAAATTAAATAAATGATATTGTGGTTATTTTACAAGAGGATCTTTACATAAAAATGATTTTTTATTAATTATATAGAACACCATTAGGCCGGGACTTCTTTGCAGCACCATACAATACAAATATGTTCACGCATTTTTTCTTTGCGTTAACATTTTTGTTATTGCACTCGTCCATATTGCATAACGATTTAATGTCGATTAATTGTATGGCCCTAATCAACAGTTTAAACCATCATAAAAAGAAGTCTTAATAATACTTTAAGCCATGTCAGGACAATGCGTAATACTCACAAGCATACAAAGGCTCAAACATGCACTTACATACACACAGTACCGCACACTTACTCTCTGCCTGTGTGTCCGCTGCCCCCCCCCACCTTCCTGTGTTACCACCTCTCCTGCCCCCCCTCTGTACCAGTAAGCACCGTGGTCCACAGTTCCACTCTATGGCCTGACTGACAGCAGAACCCCCCCAACGTGAGCCGCACACTGCCCCTCTGTGGTGTGTGTGTGTGTGTGTGTGTGTGTGTGTGTGTGTGTGTGTGTGTGGTGTGGTGTGTGTGTGTGTGTGTGTGTGTGTGTGTGTGTGTGTGTGTGTGTGTGTGTGTGTGTGTGTGTGTGTGAAAAGGAGAGGGAGGAGATTGAAAGTGATGGGAAGAGACAAGACGAGGATGAGGGATGATGGGTGGAGGGAGAATAAGAGACGGACAGAGAGGAAAGACATTTTCAGGGTGGAGATGGAGGCTGAGAGGCAGCACAGGGGGAATGAAGGAGGCTTGAGAGAGAAGGGTGAAGAGAAGTAGGACGAAGAGGAGCCGCACTCCTTTCAGAAAGAGGAGGAGAGGAAAGAGATGGGGTACAATACACAGCCTAAATGCTGTTTTGACAAAAGTAATTTAGAATCAAGGTCAAGCTTTTTCTGGACTTTCAACCACATCATTTTCTTTTTGTTAGTCAAATGAAGGTGTATACTGAAGATTATAAGCTATTTCCAAAGTCAAGAAAGATCTTTCACTCTTGACTGGGATCTGAGAATGTGATGGAGACAGTACAGGATATATATATATATCAGTAAGTGTAGAGGGAACTAGAAAACAGAATAAAGTTATGTGTATTTGAATGAACTGCAAGATGTGTAATTGCTGTTCACTCATTTGAAAAGAATAGACTTTGGTTTCACTCCCCATGCTCTCTGCTCACACTGCTGTTGGCCTGCACACACCTCGATGTGCTCAGCCTTTATGAATAAAACATTGTTAGATCCATGATGAAAAAATATCTCCATTTTGCTGAATACAATATTTGGAGCATGTGGAATGGCTCCATGCTGAGTCTGCATTTGTGCGACAGGTTCATTGGTTACTGGGAATGGGAGGTGACAAGTGAGATCATTCAGAGCTTGGTATTTCACTTATGTGAGCAATGCATTTGGCCAAGGCTGCGCCTCGCTGCAGTTTCTTTACGAGATTCTTCTCCACAGATTTCTTGTCACACAGCAGAATCCTGTGGCAGGCCACATTTGTTAACTTTGCATTTATGAAGTCGCTTGTTTAGATATGAAGCTGTAGCCCCAATGACTTCAGTGTGTGGATGTTTCTTTCTTTTTTTATAGCAACACAAAGTGATTTCTATCAGCCCAATAGACGCAGCAGTTTGGGCAATTGTATCCATGGAGATAATGCAGAAATGTTAGAATTGCACATGATGTGAAAGGCCAGAGAAGCTTTTGGTGTAAATATGTCTCCAGAGGGAACAGCCTATCAGAAATACAATGATATATGTTCGATCTTTTTATATTCTGCCCAGTATTGGTTCTTCTTCCTTATTATTTAAATAGCTTACGAGGACTCACCTTGAACTTGCTATACAGCTACTATTCTGTCCGGTATCCTTCATGTCCTGAACAGCGAAGCATTTTAACAGGACCGGTCTAGGTTCCAAGCAAGCTTAGCCGATACTAGAAGGTGGGGGTAAATCTTTGTAGAACACTTATTGGTCAGAGAGAATCATCAACATCTTCTTGAACCCTACGCCATACACTTGACAAAGTAAAGATATAGCTGACACTTTTGTATGAAGCTACTTACATACACTTCAATACTGTCTACATGCCTACAGGAGCATTTGGGTATCTTACATTGTTGACTGCAGGGGCTAGTGATTGAACAACTGACCCTCCAATTGGTAGATGCCCATTTACCCTGAGCCAATGTTGTGGTGGCAAAGCAAGGGTTAGGGTTAGGGTTAGTGCCCCATTTAAGATGTTTCTTTTACTTGCCATTGTCAGGTCACCATTCACAGTGGATAATCAAACAGATAAAAAGCACTTGGTACCAAAGACGTAATGAAGTGGATCACAATGCAGTTGGAAATGTTGCATAAGGCGTTCTAGGTTTGTATACTTAAGACCTCAGTCATCAAGGCAGCAGATCAGAAAACGGTCACCAAAAATAATTATGTATGAGTAGGGTTAGGGTTATGGACCACTGTTGAGGCACTGAAGGAACAATGTCACAATGAAATCTAATGTCTTTCTTCTGTTCACAGAAGCAAGCCAGCACAACATCTCTGGGGCCCCGATGAGGTGAGCACCCAACATCCACATTCTCACCAACAAGAGTTTAAAAAAGTACCATTACATAGGTTTTGCACTGGATCTCAATTATGCTTATCCGATCATTCAATATAGGAAAGGGAATTGATTGGATTGTGTAAATTAAGTAAGAGTCATTATGATTCAGCAATTTCATCCAAAATAAAATCTTTAGAACTTGGTATACCAGATATTTGGTTCAATGTTACTTGTCCTTCTACTCCATGTACTCCAGGAATGTCTACAAGAAGGCACTGAGACAGTCGGATTCATCAAGTCCAGAGTCAGGCTTCAGGAGATCCAACCCCAGCCCTAACATGAGGCAGAAGAGAGGTAAGAGCTACATTGTTACCTTAGAACAGTCTCCAAACTAAATAAACTCTTCATACACTCTTGTTTCCTGTTCTTCTGCAAACACACACAATCTCAAACCCACTTATCAACCCTTCGCACACATAGTCAAAAGCAGTCAGGGATAACAGGACAGCCTTTCCACACACAAACACACTCACTCACACACACACACACACACACACACACACACACACACACACACACACACACACACACACACACACACACACACACACACACACGCACACACACACACAACACACACACCACACACAAACACACTCACACACACACACAATGTTGTCAACTGCAGTCGAGGATAAGATAGCAAGTACAATGTAACACTTGTGAGAAATTCCCTAGTTTTCTTTGAGCTGGTATATCAACATTCTATCCGCAAAAGAGAAAGGAGAAGGAGGGGGGGGGGGTGTCGGTATGAATCCCAGACTAAGTCAAATCGACATGAGCCTGCAGGGAGCCACCTTGTCACCTACTTCTCTATTATCATTCCTCTCTCTCCCTTCTCCTTTTTCTGCCCATCTGTCACTTCCTTCTCTACAACCTTGCTGCCCATCCCTCCCTTCATGCATCCTTGTGTCTTTTTGGGTTCCTTAGATTTAATCAATATGTGAAGAGAACACAAACCCTACATTTTACTACTTTATACAGTATTTTATATCATTTTTCTTACCCCACCATATCTTCTGTTTCCCCTTGCTCAATTCAGACTCCTCCTCACTCTCTTCCCTGCATTTCATTTCTCTTGATTATATATTACTCACTCACACGGAAGGTGAGTCCCCACAACATGAGTTATACAAGTCTACACACACAGAGACAGGTGTTGGCTTATGGGTTTGTACCAGACATGTGACACGTTTAACCTGATAAAAAAACTGTGCTCTGCATATTGATATACTACAACAAGTGGAATATCTGTAAGTGCCGAGTCATTTTGTTTGTGGTCTGACACGGTGACAGTGAATAAAATCATGCCCACACATCCAAATCAAAGATTGTGCCACACACACACACACACACACACACACACACACACACACACACACACACACACACACACACACACACACACACACACACCACACACACACACACACACACACCACACACACACCACACACACACACACACAGACAGACAGACGCTGCACTGGACTGTCAGAGCCTCTGCTCTCCAGGCTTTATGACGTCTGTCGTGGATAATGTAGCTCTGACATCTGTAGCTCATTCAGATGCCTCATATTCTATATAGTGGGAGTGTTGTACCTTGTAAATATGTACCATTGCAAAAATGTCCTTTTGACAAGGATAAAACCAACACATTTCGGGCCACATCTGCCACTGCACAAAATACCCTAATTTATAGATTCAGTGCACAGTATGACTTCACATAAACAATGAAAACTTTGTTTCCAGAGAAACAGACCCTGGCCAATTTGCAAAACGTTTTACCAGGGAATGTGTTGGCTAGGTCTTTAATTATTCATTGCGACTTTAGCACATTTTCTCTTGTATTTCTAAGCGATGAACCTCACATACCTGAAGATCAGGGACGTGCACAGGTACGGGCTAATGTTGCCTGTGCAACGGCCCTTTTGAACTTTTTGGCTGAACTGCCCCTCTGGAGAGAGCGATTGTCTTTTTTTTCTGTTGTGTCCGAAGAAACATGATAAGCCCACAATTAGTATTGTAGAGTCATCTGCCCCCAGTCACGTGACTTTGTTTACAATCTGACAGCTGAAAAGCAAAGGAAGGTCCTCAGAGTCTGGTCCAGCCTCATATGGCTATGGTGATTATACCAAATGCCTGCCTGGCTTTGGTGGCAAATCCCCAGGTCAATCTGTCCCCGGAAATGTCCCCGTTTTTAAATATGCTTAAATTGATTTTGAGTTCTCTCATAGCAGTTAGAGTATAGGGGACAGACCAGGGGACTTTACTTCCTCTTGACACCGTCGGTTATTTACAAAAAAAACACCTAAATATACTTGCTATTGTGCTTCTGTCTTTCTGTGTCTTCTCATCTGCTCCGCAAACTCCCTCACCCTCTCTCTCTTTTCTTGATCGCCCTCTCTCACATAGGCCTACGGGAGAACACTTCACTGCCCCGCTTCATTGTAGGATTTCTGCCATGTCTCTACTTTAGTTTGACCATCTCTGTTATTAAGTTATGGAATACTAAATAAATAAGTAATTTGATACCTTACCGTTACTGCGCTCATAAAGAATGATAAGAATAAGAATAATGCGTATTGAACTGGTTTAATCAATTAGTGAGTTGATTTAAGGCACAGCAGTTACAACGGTCAAACTACATTAAAACAGAATTGTCCGCATTTTGTCTTTAATAGTTACTAACATTAGATATGTCAATGAGGTATGGACTGCAACACAAAAAATGTCCCTGGTTTTCATTTTTCTTTTTTTATAAAAAGTTCTTACGTTTTCGGCGGGGTGGGGGGAGGCCCTTTTCTAGTTTAGAGCAATAGCCCCTCCAAATGTCTGTGCACCTCCCGGCTGAAGATAATGATGTCATTGGAAAGTGTGAAGTCAACTGAATCTAAATATTTCTAGATTTGACTAGATTTGAATCTCACAAAACCTTAATGCATTGAAATATACAAACGAGGATCAAATTGGGAAATTAGTTGTTCTAATATACTGCACCATAATGCTTCCCACATCATTATGATCTTTTTCCATGTGGTATTATTGCTCTCTATCAGTGCGCTGATGATGACGGCAATAATAGGAGCAGTTAGAAAGCTAACTCCATCATGCAACAGAGGCCCAGAGCTCTCATACACAGTCATTCCCTAGTATCAATCAAAAAGCTGTACTGCAATAAAATATTGCCATGTCGTAAATTATTAGAGTATTTGCTTAGACCTGCCACCGCTGTGGCTAAGGGGCCAAATTGTTGTCTACCAATCAGCTGGTCAGTGGTGTGATCCCCAGACCCTGCAAATAATAATCATGATGACATTGGAAGTGTAAGGCATGTCTATGGTGTTAAAGTTTTTGTAAGTAGCTTTGGGTAAAAACATCAGCTAAATTGAATGTAATTGGAAATTCTCTGAAATGAATGCCAAAAGGCAGGGTAATATATTAACAACTGAATGTATAGAGATTTATAACCAACTTGTAATTTGTCTGCCTCCAAGGTGCATTACTTCAGTCATAGCATGCAAAACTTGGTATATTTTGTGGAATGAAAAATTACCAAACACACAAACTAAGGTTTCGACAGCACTGTAACTCATGTATCACATTGACACCAATATAAGAACACTTCCTAACAACACTCCAGCCTGCTCTTCTTCTCTCGCTCCTGAACTAAGCCCTGCTCCCTCTTGCTCTCCTACTCAGTTGATGCTTCAGCCAGCCAATCAGGCCTCTCGGCTGCTAACGCTAGGAAACGCTTCACCTTGCAGGGACTTTCCAACAGGAGGTCTCTTCAAGCAGGTAACAGCGCAATGTGAGACTTTGAGTGCTCACTTATGCTACCTTCATCATGACCATGAGCATCACCATCATCACCACCACTGGGATATATGTCAACACAATTAGAGTGGTGCAGGAATGAGTCCTAAAACTGGAAATGAGTTAGCAATTTACCGCTTCCGCTTCTCAAAGTCAAAGTTTTTTCTGATGTTAAAACAAGTATAAGAGATTTTCAGGTTTTGTTCTGCGATATAAAACATGTTAGTAAATACCCACTCATGAATGTGCGAAGTTTCTAATTTGTCATAAAAACGGAGGTTTGCTAACAAGTGACTAAACAAGACTACTAAACATCAGCACGCCAAATATTAGCCGCCTTAGCTTAGCGGTGGTGATGCGCAGCCATGTGAACGTGATGTTTTTCGTTCATAGGTTGCGTCAGCATTTTTATTCTGGGGATTACATTTACGCTTCAATAATATTCAAAGTGGTGTCTTCATTGCTTTTGTCAAGGGACCGCTTGGATACTAACTAACCCTAACCCTAATCTAAACCCGGGTATACAAAAATACGTCTTAACTGCACCACTCTATTAACCGCACAGTCTTTTCTTGGTTCTCTTCGTCTGTGACTGCTTTCATCATCATCATCATCATCATCATCATCATCATCATCATCACCATCATCATCATCATCATCATCATCATCATCATCATCATCATCATCATCATCATCATCATCACCACCACCATCATCATCACCATCATCATCATCATCATCATCATCATCATCATCATCATCATCATCATCATCATCATCATCATCATCATCACCACTCATCATCACCACTCATCATCACCACTCATCATCACCACTCATCATCATCATCATCATCATCATCATCATCATCATCATCATCATCATCATCATCATCATCATCCAGGCTCCATTCACATAACTGCTGTGGTCTTTCTCATCTTCAAATGTCACATACATTTCTGCATGTCGCTGTTGTGTCAGCGTAATGAAGGCCACATCTTCTTTTACTACACTTGCTCATATTTGATCCCTTCATGTCAGTATCCTTTGCATCTGCCCGCACTACAACAAGGAACCTGTGATTTCCGAATGAGAGGGATGGACTGCTGTTGCAGAGACAGCAGGCGAGATAGAAAGGGAGAATCTGCCAGAGTCCCGGCAGTAGTGACGCAGTGGCGAGGCTAAATGATGTGGCGCAGCACAGCGCTAAATGTCACCCTCTAATATTGAAGCCCTCTTGACATTTGGAGGTGCATTAACATTTTTGGAGGGGGACGGGCTAATTCCAAGTACAGCTTTCCATGTGACAGCAGTGCAGTTACTCTTCAAGTCAAACATGCCCCGATTGAGATCACAGAACCCATGAATGAAGAAAGTGAAAATGATGCATTGTAGAGATGTGTTTCAAACTATAAATGTTATTTAAATAGAAATAGATTTCCTGTTGTAGACTTTGTTATACTTTAAAATTAGGAGAATAGGCTTGTATTGGAATCAGGCTTGCTGTATATATACTGACCTTTTATGGGAGTGCTTGACTCAATAAGCCCAACATGTTGGATCAGTGCTCTGTCCTTTGACTCACAGTGACATTGCTGTTTTCTTACAGTGACACAGCATTTCAACTCAGTGGTGAAAAGCAGGTGGAGTTCAACATGCAACTTTAACCCCAGTCATTACAATTCAAGGGGGCAGACATCGATGTCAATTGATGGACAACTTCCTTAAAAATAAGTGAAAGCTAGGTTTGATCTGTCCCTCAGATTCATTCTGCCACCTCAAAACAAAGGACAGCAATGACATTTACAAATGACATTCAAAAAACTTAAAAGGAATATGTCTTAAGAATATAAAAATAAAAATATATCCAATGAAACTTTTCAGAGTGCTTTCTTTGGTTTTATCCAGAGTAGCGCAAACATTGAGTTTGGAATATCCTTTCACTTCCATCATATTCTTAACATTCTAGGATTGGGATGAAACATCAAAAAACAATAACTTCAATACAGAAAAAACAAGTTTTCTTTCACAACCCCCTCTAAAACACTTGCTGACTTTTCTGAAGTTTTCTATTAATTAAAATGGTCTTCTTCGATCTTCGATACGGAGTTTGCAAAGTTTAATCGTGGTAATGTCCGTAGTTTCCGTTACAATATCCAAACAAACTCCATCCACTGAGGAAGAACGTGAGATGAGGTTAAGGGCTCATATCGAAATATAACTTAAGTTTTATTTGTCAAAAACATGATTACATTAGTACATCATTTCATGCATGTCCCGCTTCCTCTTTTCATTAGCATGAAATGTTGTAGAATCTTCTTTCTAAATGATTTTAAAACAATGTTAACAATACTGAAGGTGGTTGTCAGGAAGTGGGATGTTAAACTACTAACTCTTCCCTTCCTTTGTTCCCTGTTATGCTCTCACCTTTCTTTTTCTTTCATTTCAAATCTATAACACCATCTCTTTGACCATGCTCCTCTGCTTCTTCATGTATCCTCCCTTTTCCTCCTTCTATCTTTCCTTCCTTGTCTCCTTCGGCGTCCTTTCCTCCCTCCTAACCCCTCTCCGGCTATAGCTCCTGCTGCTAAGGAGGCAGAGGTCACCCGGCGCTTCTCTCTCGCCTCCTCCCTAACCTCCTCTGCCTCCTCCACTTTCGCCGCACGACGCACAAAAGGTACCTGATTTATCAACCGGTCTCCCTGCCGCCATGTTTTTCTTTTTTCTATATTTGCTTGCGTTTTGATTCATAATTACGTTTTGGTGGCTTAATGACAAGACCCTCTTTGTTTGTATCTCTGTCTATACAGATCAGTGTTGTCAGAATGATGAATTTAAAGGCAAACTAATTGCACCTTGAAATACATTTTAAAATCTCTTGGATATAGGTTTTGAATAATTATGGTTTCTGTTGGACTTCAGGTCAGTCATGACCAAAACACACGCTCACATTGAACCTGTAGTGAGAAAAAGTGTGTGTGCATTTATAAAGAAAAACCCTATTTTCTTATTACCTTCACCCATGTACTGAATTTACGAGATGCATAGAGAAAGTCAAGCCTTTGCTGGGAATGAAAACAAGGTAGGCTGCAAATGAGTAGACATACATTTGTTTTTTCTTTTACAGCAACGGTAAGGAAATAAGAAATTTTGATAAGCTGACATTTGGGAACATATAGGGTGACATTCAAAGTGGCAGTAGAAGTGCAATTTACTATAGGAATAGAGATGAGAAGTTCATTTCAACAGGGCCGAGGCAGGGGAGGAATTAAAAGAACCGGCACAGAGCTATTAAAGTTTTCTCTGACCTATTTTCACTCTGTCTGCTCTCTGCATTTATTGTAATTTGTTCTCCTTCAATGCAGTGACCTCTGATTTTAATTGCCGTCCAACATGTGCACTTATAACAGGGAAAAATATGATTTCAATTCATACATGTTTGTGTCTTTAATTTACAATGCATATCTTATCTCTGTCCTAATTTCAGCCTTGTAAATAACATTCATGACCTAATATATTTAAAGGATACTTTCTTTTAGAGTAAGTATAAGAAAAGCATTACACTGATAACGTAGCATTAATTCATCAAGATAATTGGCCTCGAAACACGAAAATATGGACAGAAAGGAAAGAATAATGAATGTTTTTTACCTCAACAAAATCAAATCGGTTTCAGCTTCAAACGAGAAGGAAAATAGTTCATTGTTCATATTTATGCTTTCATTTTGGTCAATTGGAGTCACAACCTACAGTATAGTATATTTCACCGGAATTCTCAGAAATGATACAGCATACGATTTCTTTATCTGTCTTAATAAGTAATACAACTAATGGGAATAGGGATGCTTACAGTTGTGACAATCTGTGTCTTCCAAAGCTTGTGATGGTCACTTAGTAAGACATAGAGGTAAACAGTCAAACTGCAAAGATCTTATAAAACCACTGATCCAGCTGGAAACTGAACTGTGAACACGCTGTGTACCAGATGGCAGTTATCACATGAGAATTCAGACTCTTTGCTATGAATAAAATCATAGCAAACCTCTTATGAAACTTACACTCTGAACGATAACAAGTGTTTACTCTAACAGATGGAAGCTCATTGTTACACATTTCATACCTAAATGTGTTTTGGGGCAATGCTGTGTGTCTGCCTTCTTTTTTACCATCTAATAAAGCTTCTTGTTGCATGTTATCTTCCCTGGACAGGTCCCCTGTCTGCTAGCATAAAGAGCAAAAGACATGAGATAAAGAGTGATCCCACTCCATTTGGTTATGAAGGTACTTGAACATGCAAAGATATATTTCTGTACAGGCACTGAGCATGCTGGGCCTTTTAGCGTTTTCTTTGGTTTACAAGGTACAATGTATTTGTGAGATTTTTATTTTATTTGATGTGGTGTAGTGTGTGTGCACGTATTTATGTGATTGTTCAATTCCATTTCTTGCCTGCTGTGTTGACCTGCGTTGTGATTCGTGCCGTGTCGTTTCCAAATGCATGAGCATCAAAGAAGATAAGATCAAATGTGTTGGTGTAGTGTTGGTGTGGTGAGGGGTTTGGTGTTTTTTAGGTGTATTGACTTATTGGTAGATTTCTGCATGAGTTGAGTCCCACGACTTTATCGGTAGCCTCCACGTTTTGAGTTTGATGATGTTGAGTGGCAATCATGACGTAAAGGATTGGTATAAAAGCGTTTGGCTTCCCTCCAGATAACTTTGCGTGGTGCTATGGCTGCAGTCAGGAAGCGACAGAGCCTTATTAGCAGCACTGCTACTTGCTGCTTGCGCCACTTCAACTGTCCCTAGATCCACATCCCAACCAGGTAACTGCCGAGAAACAATGTCTCCTTCGGTCAATTGTCTTGTCGGTTTTGATAAGTTGAGAAGAACGTTGTGTTTGGCTTTGGTTAATAATTTGGGTTTGAGCAGTCTTTTTAGATCAGTGTGTCTTTCTGATGTGTTTGTTTAACTTCTTTCTACAGCATGTTAGCCTCGTACTGATCTTAAAGAAATAGATCTCGAAAAATCTCGCGTCGAATGCAACCTCTAGGTCTATCTTAGCCATGTAATCATCAACTGACTCCAAACAGGTTGTGCAATAGTCTGTCAGTAACATCCAGAGTTACCTATATTACTGTTACAAACCTAACCCTAACCCTAGGGTTACGTCCAGGCAGCTAATGCATGTCTGAACGGTTGAAGAGAGGTTGTGGTCACCATGTTTCAGAACAATGTGTTGACTTTTCTCTTCTTTGACAAATTCAAACACTATGACCAAAAGTGATTGGTGATTATTTACTAACAAACTGTTTTCTGGCGTTGTGCAATAAGCTTTGACTGAAAGTGTAGAAGACTTTACCCAATCAGTGAACCAGAGAAGGCAAACAGCCTCCACCCAACAGCTTGGCCACTGTATATAACTCCTAAACTTTGAAATCCAACATCATTCTAAATGTAAACCATTGCTTTCACTAATAAAAGTTGCCTTGAATGTGTTGTCATAATTAGCTTTTCTGGTAAATGCCTCGAACTTTCTGCTTCTGAAGATTTACAAAATATGTGCAGTACTTCGCCAATTCTTGCACAGCTTTATATATTATCTCCTGTTGCCAGCACATTTTAACCCAACAAGGGTATCATGGATCGTTCATTTTGACTTCCTGGAAAATTGGGATTCATCGTATGTTGTTTGGCTATGCCACGGTCATGTCTTTTGAATCAGTATTGCAGTGATTTTGTGTGCAAGAAGCTTGGTTAGAGGTTTAATTATTGCGATAAGATGCATCAAGATTTCATGATGATGCAAGACCACCTAAATGCACATCAACATTGCTATAATGTCAATGGAGCTACGTCCCATTCCAAATGGAATAGTGAATATCCCTCTTGTTTCTGAGTACATTTTGTGGCTAATAATTTGCATTGATTCTCCGCAGGTTGGGCCCAGCGGCGTCAACCCTTCCATGGACACAGACGACTTGAGACGATCCCCTCCAGTGCTGAGGAATCCTCCAACTCTTCAGAAGAAGAAGGCAACAATAAAAATGTAGGTTACTCTCAAAATTGTAAAACCTGTCACACATTGGTCCGAAAGGAAAATGTAGCTCCACCCTACCTATTCCAGTTTTTCGCCTACAAAATGTACATTCTACGATCAACGCCCAATGACAGCTCCCCACTTATCCTGAGTTTCCTCTCTACTCATATTCCACTTTCTCCCATTTTCTACAAAATCCCCTCATGGTCCCCCTGACAGAGGGTCCCACCTTTGCTTAATGTTTTCCCATGGATACGTGACTCGTTATGGGCAGGCACTGATGACTTGACATATAAGAAACGAGGGAGGGGATGGGAGGAATGGACGGTTTATAGCTTCACAGGTCTGCTGGGTATCACATTCATTATAATATGTGGAATGGACAGTAGAAGACACAAACTGGGAATGGCCCACACTTTGGCACACTTCTTCAAATACATTGTACATTTTACATTAAGTATCATGCAAAATAGGGCTTATGTTAATCCTGTCTGTATTATTATTTTCCACATCATATCTTTCAACAGCTATATTATAAACTATTAATTAATTAAGCGTTGAAAAGTATTAATACAACATTAGTCAGGGAGATCCATACAGATCCATACATATACAGGAGTCACAGAGTCTGTTTTGCTTGTTTAAGTTCAAACATATAGAAGACCATTTGAATCATAGTGGTGTGTCTTTTCCAATAAATGATATACAGCAAAGTTAATCAGTTTCACTTTTTAACATTAATTAGCTTCAGCTCAAAGCCTATTTTTTTTTCGTAGAAACTTTATTTTCCTTTTTCTTAACAACACATACAGTTTCAGTGACAAAAAAATTGCAGGTTGTCCATTGTTTGTTAAGGTCGAGATACATGTTGACTATAGAAAAATATGTGTTCTTATTCAGTTGTTTTTTAAATGTAAAAAAAAATAAAGAATCAGTTCAGCAAGAGTAGGCAGTTTCAAACTTTCCATGTACGTTAAAAATGGCTGCCATGTCCTAAGCTTCAACGCTTCTTCCCAATTCACTTTGAATGGGGTGACGTCATACTTTGCCGAACTGGCATTGTGGTTCTGTTGCTTGCGTTGCTTGCGTTGCTTACTTCAAAAGTTGAGAAAAGTTCAACTTTTGAAGCTTCGACGGAAGCGTCAGCCAATCAAATCATATGCCAGTACAAGCTCTAGCCAATCAAACTGCCGTTTGCCGTGTAACGCAGCGTCCACACGGCAGCGTGCGTTGAAGCTTGCCAGCGGCGTGTCTGAAACTCTACCAACAACCAATCACATGAATGATTCTGATTGGCTAGAGCTTGTACTGGCTGACGCTTCCGTTGAAGCTTCAAAAGTTGAACTTTCTCAACTTTTGAAGCGAGGCAACGCGGGCAAAGCGAAGCGACGGAACCACAATGCAGTTCGGCAAAGCGTGACGTCACCCCCATTCAAAGTGAATGGGAAGAAGCGTTGAAGCTTCAACGCACGCCGCCGTGTGGGACGGGCCGTAAGGGTTAAATGAAAACCAAGCATTTTCACCAAATGGAACCAGGTCCAAAATGGAAGTGACTGGGGTTGTTATTTGTGCAGGGAGACAGCAGTCGTTACCGGGTGCAGCTGACCTACCAGTCCCGTGATGCACAAGATACCTCTCTGGGGACGGGGGACCTGGTCCAGTTTCTGGAGGAGGCGGAGAGCGGACACTGGTGAGTTTTAGTCACCTCTTATTGGAAATGTGGGATGTCAGTGAGCTTTTTCATGCCAACTCATTGTTTCCCTGCCTGGTTGCAGTTCTACTCCACTTAGCATTATATATAAAAACCTTTGGCATAGTGGGCCCTATCTTTCATTTCCAACACGTTTGTTACTAAATTCAGGTCCAGGAACACACATTTACCAGTTTAATGCCAGTTCAACAAAAGCAGCATTTCTTATAATCTCACTTTGGATGTATTTATTTTAGTTTCTCCTAAGGAATGTATATGTTTGGCTCATCATTCTTTGAAGAAGATTACTAATGTTGAAGCAAATATTCCATGGCAGGAAAATGACCATGCAGTTATTAACTTGTGTACTTAGTTTTTTGATGTTGAAAATAGGCTTGTCAATACCTGCATGCTTGAATGTGGAATACGTTGGAGGCAGAGTTAATTTGTGAGCAGCAGGCAGTGTTAAGGTGATATTACACCTCCTCTCTCTCGCTCGCTCACGCACGCACACAAAATGGCTTGTGCCACACACACACAGAGCTTGATTGAAATACAGAGACCCAGAAGTAGGCTACTTGTACGTAGCATATTATTTCAAATCAATCCTTTTTCAAATTATGAATTTCACACATAAAAAAAAAGACATACATTTGAAAAAAGACATACATGGCGGCGCCAGGGGGGCGCCATATATCTTGCGTTGGATATAGAGGTAATCCATAAGTAATCAGGTTACATTTATTTTATATTTTGATAATCAGATTAGGTAACTGATTCTTTTTTACAAGTAACTAGTACTTGTAACGGAATACATTTTTAAAGTAACCCTCCCAACCCTGCAGTCACATGCCTCTACTACAAACACCTATTAAATCAGCACTTACACTATGAACATGTACTTGTCTGACTTTTGATCCATCACTTCATTCCTATTTGGGGTATTCAACAAAGAAAGATTGCTTTGGTTCAACATAAAAAGCAGAGTCAAGTCTAATAAATAAATAAACTATGGTTCCTGTACATTTCAGAGCTACTGTATCCACTTTCCCTCTGCTGCATTGTGTCTCATGTTCTAGGTTAGTGAAGAACCTTTTAACAGAGGAGACAGGACTGGTTCCTTCCAATATACTGCAAACAGCATCTGAAGGTCACTCATTAAGTAACAACGCTACATCTGACTAACCACTGGCAGCAATGCTGTAACTCACTCAGTCACACACCACTCCTCCCTCCGCTCCACTACTCCAACTTCAGCTGCTCCTCTCTCGCTCACATGGCAGTTGGGCCAGGGGATTGGGTGGGAAGCTGCTCTGGGAAAGAGGGGGGGGGCTGTTGGACATGCTTCAGGTTGGATGGAGTGGATGGGGATGGAAGAGCTTTGGCTTGTTCAGTTGAATAATCAGAGCATGATATCACTGGTTGGAGCACATTCGCACATCTCTTTCCATTATAGATGATGGGAGTGGACGTACAGTAGGAAGAAAAAAATATATTTTGATGCCAAGATTTATTATCTCACTTTGAAATAAAAAATTGCACACAAATATATATTTTTTAATGAAAACCTACAACCCTGGAACCAAAATCAAAAGATCCTATAGTCAAATAATTATAATAATCATAATAATCATTATTTTGAAAAAATATTAAATTATAAAGGGAACTATTTGTTTCAATGTTGAGGAACGGTAAAAATGTCCCTACATTTAAAGTTGGGAAAAGTATTTCTGAAACCAGTTAAAAGATTCATTTACAGGCCCATTTTATATTAATCTGAACCTTACATAAAATTGAGACATGTATTTTGCAATACCGTATTGATGACTTTGTTGGTGGCACAAAATATATTGTTTTCTTATAGGACAGCCCCTCCTGCTCTTTCTCTGTTCCCTCGCTTTAATGTCCCCTCTACCCTCACTCCCCCTCCTCACATCTCCTACATATCACGCCGGCTAGAAGGCTTCTGGAAGTGTTCGCAGCGGCCTCACTTGTTTTGTTCTTGCGCTCTGTCCACCTCTCTCCAACCATCCATTCCCTCTCCTCACTTTCCCTTCTCTCTCTTCCCTTTATCTATTTTTTAAATTTTTTAAGTCTTTGAGGAAGACAGAACTTGCTATACTTAACATGCTTAGCAGTTATTATTCAGTATTTTGGATAAGTGTAACACTTTTATAAATCCCTTTTCACCTGATTTGGTCACTTATGTCTGCCTTCCCCATAATTCTTGCCTTTTGATATGTTGCAGATTTTGAATGCCTTACTATTATGTCTCTGTGTTATTTTATACTGGCAGGGCAGTCCTGGCTGTGCATCCCCCTCCCGAAGCATTATGTTTGAATGCCATTGTTTGTTCACGTCAAATACTTTTTTTGTGAATTATTATATAAGAAAGATCGTCAATTGTATTTCAAGGTTAAACTAACTTGAAATTTTTTTTTTTCAGATATCTTCAGTGATCTGTGTACAGCAGTACTCTCTGACTCGGATGAAAATGAAGCCAGTACGTGGGGAGATGTGTCTCAAGACAGCTGATGAACCTGGCTGACTATATTGGACTACAAACATTTTTGTTGGATCGCAAACATGGTTTTTCAACCACAGTTTCCTAGTTTTCTACTTGTAGTTATTCATGATGGACTACAAATATGGCCTGCTATCCTTTGTTCAACTGTTTTCATGTCTGACACTTTGAAGCTTCTCTGTGAAGCCTCTGGAAAAAGCTGGAACCTTAACATGCCAGAATGCCACAGCGGGAGAGCTATATAAGACTTTTAATTCTAAGAACTACAAGCTGTCATCTGTGGAGATTGAAAACCTGAATCGTTGTGGTTATTGGACTTTACTGGATGCACTCAGAAATTGTACTGTAGACAATGCAACTCCAGAGTGGTTGGGCTGAATACCTAAAACACTCAGTTCCCATTTCTGACTTTGAAAACCTTAGGGAATGTGATAAAGTCTGTGTGCTGGTTGTGAGCAGACCTTGGCAAGGTGCCTTGTTTTGCTGCTACACTTCGCTGAAGTAAAATTCTTTCAGACCAGGTTCTGCCTCTGCTGTCGCTCAACTCTTCAGGTTCAAACTATGACACCTTGCAGTAGCTGCATGCTCCAGAACAACTTTGAAGTTGTCTCACTTGCCTTTACTCACTCTTGTAGAACCCCACATAATGTCATTGCGTTACATCAGATATGTTATCTCAAAGTGCACTCTTGCACCCTGTAGACTTGCAAAATAAATATCTCCCCTTCATACTTGAAGTTACCCCAGATAACCCTGTCATTATACAAGAAAAATAATTGACATTGGTTTTATTCAATCTGAAATAATTTAGGTCATGTCCTCACATGTGTAATACAGATAAAATATGATGTTTTGGTCGGAAACCTTTTATATGTAAATCATTGTTTATTTTGATCCATGATACCATTTTTGGCATAGGCTAGAAGGTTTCATGGTTGGAGATGTTAACATTTTGTACAATTTTTCCATGTATTCTACTTATTATGTTTGCTGTAATGCATTTACATGTTCTTCTTTAGCAAAAATAACAACATTTTAAACAGTAAGTGATATAGGAATATCACACTATCTGTCACTCACTTAGGACATTTGATTGATTACATAATTTATCTCAACAACATTGGCATCGGCTCATAGCTAGCAATGTTCATACACATCGATTATCAGCGACCAGATTGATTGTATTTTCACTATAGATACTATGAAGAATCTGAATACCGGTTGTGTAGCTGAATTCAATAGAGCGGTGCAGCGATGACATATTTTGGGGTTTCTTCGACAATATTAGCAACAGGATTTGTCCATTCGATTTTAGAAGGGTTCAGAAAATAAGCTCTATGGCAAACATATTTAAGATTATTTTTGAACCCTTAATACAATCCGCAGAAGTAAAAGCTAATCTTAGGTTATAAACTAACTACATCATGGTCGAACGGCTTATTATCAAGACCACTAAGCTAACGGCAGACTTGTGTTTAGCATGACATTTTTTAGCCAAGTGTTAGCAACCTCTGTTTTTATGAAACAGAGAAGCTATAGATATTCACAACTTGGGAATTTACTGACCAACTTTATATTGAAGAACAACACTTTTAAAGTTTCTGTCTCACAGGCCGCCTTTCAGGAATCTAACCCAAAACCCAGGAAGTGCTAAAATGCTAACTAATTTCTGTGTTTTAGTACTTACTACTGCACTACTCTATTGCCCAGCTTTGCATCAGCATTATCAGATTCATCAGAGTCTTGTGAAGTCCAAGTTGAAACCAGTGTTTTTGTTACTGAAATATTAGCATTTGTTAGCTCTTTGTAAGCTAAGCTGCAAAGTCATGTCAGGGAACAGGCAATTTGCTGCAAGTGATTTTTCAGGGAGATGCTTTTTATCAGGCTGCACCCAGGCTGTTTCCTACCCACTGAAGTTTCTTTCATGGAGAGGGAATGGAGAACATTACAGTAAATGTAAATAACTGTCATTGCCAGTCTAACATTGCATCATTTTCGGCTGAAGATCAATTGTTCTGTATGTCCGCTGTAATGTTGTACACCATTTTCCCTAAGAGGCTTTCCGCATTGTTTTGCATATCTACTGACAGATTGAATTCTACTGACTATTTACTGAGAAATCCCAGACAGCATCACTGTACTCCGGATAGACGGCATGTCCCAGATAGCTTTCTACACATACTCATTTACTTATGTAAATGAAAGGAGAAATTGAGATTATTTTATAATCTGCATATTGACCTGAGGACTGAATACATGTATGTAACTGGAATCAGTCTTTAAAAGCAACGCCCCAACGTTGATAAGCAATTAAAAATGATGCATAGATGGATAGGTATACTGGTGGATATATGGAAGTATAAAGTAAGTAGGTAGGTGGGGTGGATGGATGGATGGATGGATGGATGGATGGATGGATGGATGGATGGATGGAAGTATAAAGTGGATGGATGGATGGATGGATGGATGGATGGATGATGGATGGATGGATGGAAGTATAAATGATGGATGGATGGATGGATGGATGGAAGTATAAAGTAGGTGGATGGATGGATGGAAGTATAAAGTAGGTGGATGGATGGATGGAAGTATAAAGTAGGTGGATGGATGGATGGATGGATGACATAGAACTAATAGTAGGTAGGTGGATGGAAGGAAGGATGAATTCAGGGATTAATGTATGGATGATCCATATATTTTTCGACACCATAACTTGCTTACCATAACAGATGGGAAACCTCTATTAAAAGTCCTATACATTTAATACAAATGTGATTAAGACATTCACTTCTCTTAAACATGCTGTACATTTTGTTTATCCTCTGCTAAATGAAACATATTGTATCTTTGTAAAGAAATATTTCTATTGTACTGCATCCTGCTGTAATTTAACATGTAACCATATTATGGAATGTATCAAGTCTGTATATTGCACAATCTGTCATTTAATGTACATATTGATTTATTGTGATAATATGCATTTTTATTATGAACTTTGTTGCCCTGTATTTCAATTTGAAACTTGGTCCATTATTCCAAACTTAAAAATACAAAATATCACTGACATTTTATGTGTGGTGTTGTTTTATAGGTACTATAGCCAATTATGTAATAACTGAGGCTTTAACCGTTCCATGTACATTTTGTTTTTGAGAGTTTTTGCACAATCCAAACCAGCAGAAATTGGCCTGATTTGTCCTTTTAGCCAGGAGAAGACCACCTCATCAGAAGAAGAACGTGCGGAAGCTCCAGAAAACAAACCTTCATTTTTCTTTTCTGATTGCTTTGTGTAATTTTGTCAACATTTGTAATCAGTTTTCACTGGAGGAACAGTGCCCCTCCCCCTGCCTAGTGCCATAACGTAATCCACACATTTCCCACCAAATTTGACCTGGTGTTGTGAATTCAGAAATAATTTCAGAAGCAGTTGCCAGTTTTTTGTTATTGATGTTTTTGTTCATTCATGGGCTTATAATTCTGAGTAGTGGTTACCTATAAAAAACCAAAGGTTAGGGTTTAGGTTTATATATTATATACAAAAGGTTTATATATTTTGGACAGTTAGTAACAGTTGCTCATGAATTACAGTCATGCAAAATAATTACCAAAACTGTCCGTTGTAAATATCTATCACAGTTTACAGATAGATTTCTGCCCGTCACCAATTCCCTTCTGATCATTTACTTATTCATTAATTACTTCTGCCTGTTTCCAATGTTACCATCTCACTTCTCATTACAGGCATAGTCATTGACCAGCCAAGACAAATCCCTTCTCTCATCTTAAAAACTACATCCCAACTCAATCTGGTAGGAGCTTTCTATCATCTCAGAGGTCACGAGGGTGCCAAGATCGGTAACTGCTAGGAAAGGCAATGCTCCACATTGAATTTGTGGGTGTATGTAAATGCACCTTTGCTCTATGGGTGTGAGTGTTTCTGGCTCACACTGGAGTTAAAAATGATGGAAAGAGAATGCGGGTTGTGAAAACAAACAAAGTTTATTGAAAAAATATCCGGGGTGGCTACTGCAAGACAGACCATAACCAGGTTACATCATGCTTTTATTTAGTGACTCATAACCTGATCCTGATCAGCTGTCTGGCCTCCGGCTGAGCCACTTCCCATCACTCCACCAGAATAAATTCCCTGAGGGAAGATTACGGCAAAATGAAGCCGCTGACGTCCACTTCTTCTTCTTCTGCTTTGGGTTTACTGGCAGGGTGCAAACAACTTCCCATGTTTGTTTTGTGTAGTGCCATAAATTATTCTCTCTCCGTTGGTGGGCAGGGCTAATGCTAATAATGCTAATGCCAGCAAATACAATGGCGGCTTCAAAAAACGTTCCAAGTTTTACGGGCGTGGTTTGCAATTCGTCCAGCCAATCAGAAATTGGAACTTTTTTCTCCCCAGGAAAGTACCCACCTCTCTAGCAGCAGGCACTAAAAAAAAGGGGGTAAAAGTTTCATGAACTAAGTTCTCTTTTGGTGTGAACGCAAAATTCCAGGAACTATCGGAACTAAACGGGAAAAGTACTCCGGTGTGAAAGCGCCTATTAAGGTTGATAGACTTGATCTGCATGACCCATTCAGGACCACTTGCATACTTGCAGTAGCACACTTACCGTAACAGAATGACAGCACCCCCTTTGGGAGAACTGCAGTCTGTAGAGCAGCAGTACCGACCATTTTGTGGTCTATCAAGTAAAAGTAAGAGGCTCTCCAGTCATCCCAAGGGTGATCCAGGCCGCCCGCTTCAAAATGTCAACTCACCCCTAACTGAATGCCTGGCTGGGACTGCAGAGCATGCCCACATTGTTCCTGGGTTCATTGATTCCAAGCAGACACTATTACATTACATTACATTTGCATTTAGCTGACGCTTTTATCCAAAGCGACTTACAATAAGTACATTCGACCAGGAAGACACAACCTTGAAGAAAACAGAATCATATAAGTACATCAGGTTTCATAGAGCCAAACATTTCCAAGTGCTACTCAACTGGCTTTAGATAAGCCAGTCCTTTATTAGTATATAAGTGCTTGTTAATAATTCTATCGCTCGAGGTGGAGTCCGAAAGAGATGAGTTTTCAGTCTGCGCCGGAAGGTGTGTAAGCTTTCTGCTGTCCCTGATGTCAATGGGGAGCTCATTCCACCATTTTGGAGCCAGGATAGCAAACCCACGTGTTTTTTGCTGATGGGAACTTGGGTCCCCCTCGCAGCGAGGGTGCAGCGAGTCGTTTGGCTGATGCAGAGCGGAGTGCACGCGCTGGGGGATACAGTTTAACCATGTCCTGGATGTACGAAGGGCCAGATCCATTCGCAGCACTGGTAAGCAAGTACCAGTGTCTTGAAGTGGATTCTAGCCGTTACCGGAAGCCAGTGAAGGGAGCGGAGGAGCGGAGTGGTGTGTGAAAATTTAGGAAGGTTGAAGACCAACGAGCCGCTGCATTCTGGGTGAGCTGCAGAGGGTCGGATGGCACATGCAGGTAGACCAGCCAGGAGGGAGTTGCAGTAGTCTAGGCGTGAGATGACGAGAGCCTGGACCAGAACCTGCGTCGCTTTCTGTGTCAGATGGGGGACGTATCTTCCTGATGTTGTAAAGCGTGTATCTGCAGCAACGGGTTGTAGCAAGCGATGTTTGCAGTGAAGGACAGGTTGTTATCTTAGGGTCACACCCAGATTCCTTGCAGGTCTGAGTCGGGGAAACAACAGAGGTGCCGATGTTGATAGTCAGGTCAAGAGTGGGACAATCTTTTCCCGGAAGGAAAAGCAGCTCAGTCTTGTCAAGGTTGAGCTTGAGGTGATGAGCAGACATCCACTGAGAGATGTCAGCTAGACAAGCAAAGATGCGTGCGAACGACCTGGGTCTCTGAGCGGGGGAAAGGACAGGAATTAATTGGGTGTCGTCAGCGTAGCAGGGTATGAAAAACCATGCGGCGCTAATGACTGATCCGAGCGAGTTTGTGTACTTGTTGTATTCCCATCCTAGCATTCCCATCTAGGGATCCAGTTCCCTCAGACATATTATGTTCCGTCCCCCAGAGAACAGTTACGATTCATCCACACAAGTCAGGTAATCAGTACCTGGTCAATGCACCCAATCAACTCCTGATTCTTTGGTTCCCCAGGCTCCAGAGGACTAATCCACACATTGACAGGGGCACAGGCTCCATTCTCCAGTAGAGCTGTCACTGCTATGCCGTGGTCCAATGTCTGCCTTATCTAGTTTCTCTTTCTTGTGGGGGTTGCCCCCAATATCTCTCTTTACGTCCCCACTAAGGTCTAGGGGACCTGGAGACAAAACCAACAACCAATAATTATGAGGGAGTCAGCGTAAAGTTTGACAAAAGGTTTATTCCTTGAACAACCCAACTGAACAGAAGTTTAACAGAAATACTCTTTGTGTGAGGCGGAGTGGAGGAGGAGGAGGAGGAGGAGGAGGAGGAGGAGGAGGAGGAGGAGGAGGAGGAGGAGATGTGCCAAACAAAAGAAATAAGCATAACAAACCAGGCCTATCTCTACATCTATCCTTTGAAACCAAAACTCAAACAAAAACCCTCACTAACTAAACTACTCAGAACTGGACAAAACAGAATACAGGGGTGGCAACAATCCGCTAACCTAGTGTGTCTTAACATTAGTTATCTACGTGATGAGAAATGTAGAGGGTACCCCATACTTACCTAACTCCCAACCTCTCAACACACACACACATTAACAAAGGTTAGAACAAAGTAGAATGAGCTTCTAAACAAGGCAGTCAATTGCAGGCTCCTCAATCAGCAATAGGCCCAGGGTGAGAGAGAGAAGACTTCCTGGGTGCCTCCTTTATGGTCAGCCCTGGCTGTTGATAGGCCAGCTGAGGGTGAGAGGATCCAATCAGCCATCAGACTCAGGTGCACAGGCAGATACCGATCAGCTGCTGATTAGCTGTGCAGAAGACAGGGAGAAGAGAGAAACACAGGAGGGAAGGAAAACCACACAAGTACAGCCTGCCTGGCACGTAACACTCTCCCTAAGGGGGATTTTCAGAACTACATGGGATAGGTCCGCTATATTTCCTACTGATAATATAACAATGGAGAATTGCATTAATGTACTCAAGTTGGGAGGGTTACTTGAAAAATGGTATCTGTTACAATAATGAGTTACATTGTTATCAGTTACCTGAGTATTAAAATATAAAAGTAATGTAACCTGATTGCTTTCCGTTACTTTTGGATTACCTCAATATCAAATGCAATGCAAATAAAAACAAGAGAACATGAATAGCAAGAAGATGTGTTTTACTTAAGTGTATGTAACATTCTAACCTTAGAAAAGAAGAAAACCAAGATATTTAATTTGAAAAATGTTGTAAAAGTAATGCTTTACAAATGCTGTTTTTTATTTAGTTTAACAAAATAGGTGTTCACTTACTGCATTACAAAATAAATGTATT